CCAAGCGCAAGCGGGTCAAGTTCACCACCTTCACCACGCTGCCCACGGAGGAGCTGGCCTATGACTCGGTGCCCGCCGGCGAGGAGGAGGAGGACGACGATGAGGACCTGGGTTGGGGCTGCCCGGATGTGGCAAACACCACGCGGCCTGCTGCACCCCAAAACTACATGCGCAGAAACAAAGAGATGGCGTAGAGGCGCCGTCCCCCGGGGGGTGGGCTCTGTGTGGGACACGGCCAGGACCCCTGCTCGCCCGGGCTGCCGGCGGCGGACGTGGATGTTAAAGGCCCGGCCCCTGCAGCTTTGCTCTCTGCAGACGCCGCCTCCCTCACCGGCCCCCCAGCTGCCTCACACGGTTCCCTCTCTGCTGCCGCAGGTGGAGGGCCCCTTTGGGAGCTCGCTAGGAGGAGGCAAGCCCAGCCCTCCTGCCTTTTCCAAACCTCCTCCCATCCGAGACAGCCTGGCCCAGGAGCGAGGCCAGGTGGGCCCGCTCTGTGAGCCGCCCCTGCCTCCCACGTCCCCGGGGTCCCCCCTGTGCTGGGGGTTCTGTGGGGTCTTGTGTCACAAGCTGCACAAAGACTTTTCTCAAACCACTATTCAGGGATTTCTGTCCTGCAGGGCGGGAGGCAGCAGCTGCCTGCCTTGCCGAGGATCTTGCTGTGGACAAAACTTTGGGGAGGTTGGGGGACACGTGTAGCATCTTCTGGCTTTCTGGGACCGCCCAGTCCCTTCCTAGGACCTGGGAGCCGACCCCAGAGGGGTCTGTGGCCAAGCCAGGCACCTTCCTAGGAACCCAGGACTCCCTCCTCTGCCCCCAAGGGCTATAGAAGTGGCCGAAAGGGGGAGGGGTCCTCAGCCCACCCCTGGCCAAGCCACAGCCCAGAGCACCATGGTCTGGGTGGGCCCAGGGAGGCCTGCCCCATAGCAAGGCCAGCACTCCGCCTTAGCCCCCCCAGCTCTGCTGGCCACTCCTCCCTGCTCTGCAGGGGCGACCACCCATCCCCCCAGGAAATGGAATCCGGTGGGAATGGAGGGGGGCACCCACCGAGGAAGCTGTGAAGGAGCTGGGGATGGGCAAGGCCGAGGGAGCGGGCGTCTCCCTACCCCATCTCACAGCCACTTTTCTCTCGGGTTCTACCACCACTGTGTCCGGTTTTTTCTTAAATAAATGGAGGCGACCAGATTGGAGGTGGGGGCAGCAGCTCCCAGAGAACAGACAGTGCATGGTGGCTGGCTCCGTGTCTCTGCTTTATGTGCACGCATGCACACTCACCCCACACACACGTGTACACACACGCACACGTGGGCACAGTAAATGACGTGAGAGAGAAACACGGCTGAGCCCCGCTGCCGTTCCGTTCTTCCCCCTCCAGCATCCAGGGCTCATGGACCTCGGTGCTGGCCCATTTCTTCCACAGCCTTCAGCCCTCCCCTCAGAGGAGGCTCCTCCCATCCCCATCCCCATCCCCATTCCCATCCCCATCCCCATCCCCATCCCCA